GGAATTCATAGTATTGACTGGTATTACTTTTTGGACAACCAAACCAGTAATCAGAAATGCTTAGTCCACTTCTAGCCACGAGCAGAATATATTTCAAGTTGTTTTTTATTCCGGTCCATTCTTAACCTCAAAAAATTTGCAAGTTGTCTGTTTTTATTGAACAAGCCGCAAGCATCCTATCAACGTCAAAATCATTCTGTTAAACTTGTGTGAGCTCTTTTTAACCCATCTGACTCCTTGCTGGATGGGGACGAGATTTAGCAGCACTATTATATGTATATGGTAAAAAGTATATTTGGGCAGAAAAAATAGCAGCTTTACTGCACGTTTAATTTCAGTTTATTGCCAGTAGTATATTTCTTGTTCATCTCTTTAGTGCTACTTTTGACTAAGGATGACTGATGCAGGAGCCACAACGGAAATTAAAGTTTTACATAGAAAACTGAAAGATGTTGAACTCATACCGATTATAACTCACATACCTTTTTCAAAAATTTATATGTAATACTCTTGGTATTTGCTAACACAGAATTAAAAAAAAAAACATGCGATTAAAATAAAATTTTTTTTTTTATAAAATTCTATATGCATAAGGCTAAAGGAAAGTGCAGCTTTATGCAAATAAACATGAGGTATTTGTAGTAAAAGTAAATAGACCAGGGTAGATAATTTTTAAAAGCTAAAAGTATGATAAAATCCTACAAGTCAAAATTAAAGCACCCAAAAACTTGTATATTTGAATTTTCCACATAGATTTTAAGGTTATGTGAAAAAGGTATTCATACAAAAGTTATAGGAATTTTCATCACCTAGAACTTTGCCATATAATTTGTCCTATAGGACTCGTAGAAGGATAACCAGATAAACCGCTTTTAACCCTTAAAAAATTCAACCACGCCTCTCCTTTTCTCTTTCCCATCTCAGGCCACCTGTAGGTTAGTTTTCCTTTTATTTTTTGTTTGTCTGTAATTTCCAACGGGTCTCAACCTACTATGAATTTCTTTTACTTTTTATGATTTTCAAAGGCTTCTGCAGTGGTCTAACAGAAACATTTTACACGGTGACATTTTTTTGGAAAATGGAATTTTTCCATTTCCAGTTTAGCAAATTTTTTGAAGTTAAAAGCTTTTGATCTTCTATCACACGTAATTTGTAGAATAAAGATTTATCGTAGAAGGAACTAACTATAAACAAGGGTGGGTAGAATGAAAATGAAACTTTTTATAGCATATTACATAGTAAACATGCAATTGAAAAGTTTCGGAAAACTTATTCGAGTTTTTTTTGCTAACCAAAATAAGTAAACAATTGCGTATTTATCTTTTGTCATTATTCATTTTAAGACGAATTACTTCTGCAAGTATTTAGTACGTGAAGCAGATTTCTTCTCCTTTAAAATTATATTGAAATCATCAGATAAAATAACAAGCATTCGCGAGCATATTTCTATAGAACGGAAACTTTGTGCAGAAGATGTAGCAAATGGAGCTAGATGAAAACCCAAAGAAATCAATGATATCAACAATTTTTTGATTTACTTAGAGCGAGTCATCCAATGTGATTGGTTGAAAAATCGATTTTTTTCATAAAGTGTTTTCTTAACATGTCTAGAATACGGTAGTAAAGTGTTTTCACACTTCCCTCCATTTAAAAACGGCTTAACAGAATGATTGGAAATTTGTAGGATAAACTCGACACATGTATATGCAATAAATGGACTATTATCACTCAAAAACTCCCAAAGAAAACAAAAAAAAACACGTAAAATTCGCAACTTTTTTTCAATTAATTTTTTTTGTTTCCGATAAGCCAATCAGTCCGAATCGTGGAGTAAGTACAAGCCCATTTACGAGGCGGGGTGTTCAGAACGCTGTAACTTATGTTCTAAAATATGTCGAAATATATATTAACAAACGTCTATTTACTACTAGTAGACAAAACAAACTTAAAAAATTCCGAAACAACAGGCCGTCACATGGTATGACCCTCTTTATAAAAATTGATGCATTAAAAAGATTTCTGTTATCATCAAGCTGACTAACATGCATACATCGACTTCGAAATTGAGGATTTTTTGTTGATGATTGAAACTTTGTACGGTTTTTGAATCGATTTGTGCAGCTCTAATGTGTTTTACTTCGGTGAGTTTTCATTTCTATAAAAAACTGTAGAGCCTTTTGAACATTTCGTTTTTCATATTTTCAACGAAAGAAAATCTCATTTTAAATTGTTCGATTCGGTTGTTTCATTATTGAAACTTGTTCTACAAATTGATAGAACTTCATTCCCAAGCCGTGTGAAGACTTAACAAATTTTGTTGCACTATAAATGAAGAAACTACTACTACTAAAATTATTATTTATATGTATACTCGTACATATGTATGTAGATATAAACGTATACATACGTCAAATTCTTAATTTCGACAAAACTTCAGAAAAGCGATCAGCTCACAAGAAAAATAATATTCGTACACACTTCTGAAATACTTTTTACGTATTAAAGGCATTTTAAATACTGTTTGTTATATACAATAATTTGTTAAACCTCATTAATATGGTAACGCTGTGGTCTTACTTGTACAATACAACTGCTCCTGATTCTATTCCGTTCACTAAGCTGTTTTCATTACAAAACTGTTTCTCGCTTCACTATGTATATCGCTAATTTTATTCTGTGAAAAGATAATTTTAAGAAATTTAATATATATTTTTTTGCAATTTTAAAAACATTACTGCTTTTAAATATAGAAACCAAATATTTCTGTATTAAAATGTAAAAGAAAAATAATTATAATTTATATGCGCTATATTCATTTATGTAATAATTTCTTTTATTTCCGAATTGAAATTTAGCACATGCAATTTCCTAAACTCTTTAAAATAGTAAAAATGCAATGTGAGTTGATAAAAGTCATGCTTGAACGCATAAAATGCTCTAAGTTTTTATATGTTTCGATTCCAAATAATCTGCAGTTTATTACAAATTTATTCCCGCCATGTATCTCACAGTCAAAATACACGGCTGCATATTTTCCATTATTTACTAGTCCCCGCCTGACCCCCACACCTACCTATAAAAGACATTCATGTAACCTAAGCGACAATAATCCGACTCATTAGCATATGAAATCCGCCTGGCAAAAGGCGACACATCATTTTATATAACTATCTACGGCAATATGGTAGAGCGAAATTCTAACGGTAATTGGGTGTGTGAAAAGCGAAAAACGTATTATGAGTAGGCAAGCATAACAATTAAGCTCTGTTATTTGAGCAGCAACGTTTGATTTCGGGATAATCTTTAAATTCCTTGGCAGCAAGTAGCAGTAGGCGTTTGATCAAAGGATCAGGCGCTTACGGTGGTTGCTAAGCGATATGAGTCGAGTTTTTGGTGAAAAAAAGGCGCAAAGAAGCAATGCAGTATGATATGGTGCATTATCGTGATTCAAGAACGAACAGTTGTTACCCCATAATTTCGGCCGTTTCAGACGAATAGCTTGACCATAATGCTCAAATAATATTCTTTGTTGACAGTTTGGCCCGGCAGAAGAAGTTCATAGTGCAACACGATAATCACTACAGCTTACCATTTGATCATAGTTGCACATAATTGCCATTGACTTAACATCTCTAAACAGTGTCTAAATTTTAAATTTGATTTTACAACTGAAGATTGACAAGTCATATAAATATTTCTTTGAGTGTATAGGTTGCTATTAAAGCTATACACGGGCCAATACTCGCTTATTATCTGATATGTGGATGTTCAGTATTGTGATGGACACAGAATAAGCGCATGAGTTCTACTCTTTAGAATTATTTTGCAATAGAGTTGATATCTACCGAAAGTATTAGAGTTGATCAAAATAATCAAAAAGTGTACCAATCGAAAGGCCTAAAAAAACTTTAAAAATTTCACATAGAATTGCCAACAATATTACAACAAAAATTAAGACTGCCTTTAAAAGAAAAATATGTAAAATCTAAGTGTAAGCAATTTTGAATATACTTATTATATAGGTATATTGTCAGTATATCTAATTGTCTTGCGCTTGTTTTAAAAAAAGCAAAACTTCATTATTGCTATTAAATTTACCGAGTGAATCCAGAATAACTACATTTTTTCTACGGGCTGTTGATCACCTCGATAGTTGGTTGGTTGGTATCCGATTCGTCTAGTTTTGGTTAGTAGCGAATCGAACAAAACTAAATTTGTATAATTTATAAAAACACTGATGGCATATCAAGCAGTAATGGCTGATTCGCAAACAAATTTTACTTCGCTTTGCCTTAGACGCTTCGATGTACGATTTTGTATGAGTTCGTTCACATTGAGCCGACGCAATGCAAAGCGCAGCAAATTCTTGCCAACTGCCATCTGTTTACACTTTGCAAACAATAATTTTTATAAGAAAAAAGTACAGAAAGCAAAGCGTTCATTCTGACATGCCATTTGGTTTCTTCGCTTCGTTATTAAAGTATGAATTGTCAAGCAAAGCGATAAAATTACAGGTAATAACAAAGTTATCGAGTTGAATTCGTACAAGAGAGTATGCGTATACCTCATTAAAGTGGTAACACCGTTATCTTCAATGCTACCAAGTTTGATTTTGCATATCTTAAATCAGTTTTGCAGTTACAAATTCTTTTTATTTTATTATAAGGGGTTAGTAAACCGATCAAAAAAGAATTGTAGCACAATAGCGCATACGTCAGAGGACGTAGGGTTGCACCACAAGTACGGCCTGCTTGTTTGAGCATTTCGTATAGCTTGTTCGATTGGCTACTTTCCAACGCTTGGCGAATCGAAGACTGCTTTTGTTGCCGCTTTCACATGCACACATTATTCATAGAAGAGCAATTATAGGCTAGGAGAGCAGCGCTTAACCTAGCGAGCAGAAAAATGAGTGATGAATCGAAGACAGCTGATTAATAAATGGTCAGCTCATCCGATCTGTGCTTTATCTAAAGTTAAAGTAGTTGTAGTGTAGTACTCACATCGTTAACTATTATCCAATGATGCTGCTTTGCTTAACAATGTTTTTAGGCTGGCAACATTGTTTTAGTTGTCTTAATAGAATTTTCACAACAAACACATATATTTTAGAAAACATCAAATTTTTACACACTTGATTTATACTTTTAATTTAATTAAATCGTATACATTTAATAAAAATATGCTTTTTGTGTATCTTAATTAAAAGTTTTTTTTCGACCATAGACATTTTATTTTCACAAATTGCTTTAAAGTTTTCCGTTAAATTCCTTCAATCTCATTTTGTTTGATTTTTGCTTTAGAGTTTTTTTTTTTTTTGCCAAGTGATGACGATGCGTTCGCCTGCTCAAAGTTCGATAACCGTCCACGCGTTTGAGCAGCTACGTTTACATTGTCGGCGTTTTGCTTAGTGTTGCCTGTTTGTGTGCTTTAGCTTAAATTTCTGCTTGCCCATTGTAGGTTTTTTCTACTTTTTGTTTGCTGGTTTCTAATGCGCGCCTATTGAGGCGGACTGTGTACTCATTGGTTGTGCCTTTATTTTATTTTTTTCAAGTGTTATTGTTATTATTATTGTTGTGCGTTTTGTAGCATTTTAGCATGCATGACTGTCGTTATGCTGCTATTATTAAAATTCAATTGTTTGCAATACTTTTGCTTTCGTTGCATTTTTTGGATGCATGTTTATCGCAGTTGTTTTTTCAATATTAGTTTTACTTTAATTTTTTATTTATTTAATTTAAATATGTTTATAAAGCATTTTTTCGCAGTTTTGAACAATTGTTTTATATATTTTTCTATAATTTATTTTATTACGTATTTTTTAGTATAACTAACAAACACATTGCGTTTAAGCCAATTAACTTTATTTGACAAAATTTTCAGAGGAACACTTTTATATTCTTTTTCTCGTATTCTCTCTCATTAAAATTAAATTGTGTTTTTGTTTTTTTCACTTTCTTGTGTCTATGGAATGGATGCTTTCAATGCTTTATTGAATTAATCTTTTTACTACCGTTTAACTTAAGAATCTTTCACTCTTCAATTTTTTATCACCAAGATTGTAAGTCTGGAAATAAAATGCCATTAATTTGATATCTGAAATATGGTATATTATAGCTCGAATGTGTAATAGTCATGTGCGTATATATAATTATATATTAACACCATGCTAGTTGTGCTGCTGCGTGGTCAATATTGAATTGACGAGTACGAGTTGAATTACGACCTTGACCAATCGTAGCGTGATTAAATGATGCAATAAAGTAGTAAGTTTGAACACCATTAAACCTCATATGGATTTAAAAAAGATTAATTTACTTGAAGTGTGTGATAAATATTTGCTTTTATATATATAGCTGTCATACAAACTGAACTATCATTATTAAGTGCTTGTAAGGGATCTTTTGTTTTTGTAAAAGGTATTATAGCTTTAGGTGCAACCACAGTTAACGTTTTATCTTGTTAATTTCGATTTTGCAATTAAAAATTACATTTTGAATTTTATATTCTAATATTTTGGATTAAAAATTAGATTATAAATTCATATTACCGCTTTTTTAACTAAACAATTCATAACCCTAATATTGGCCACCCTACTTCGTAAGAGTTTTGGTATGATTTCACACATTCTACATAAATATGGATGTATATGCTCCATGGTTGGAAATATACTGAAATGAATTTTATTAATGAAATATTCTAAATAATAAAAACAGAGAGTAAAAGTCAATGATTGAGTAAAAATGATTTTTATAATTTATTTAGACGATTTTGGTTGCACGTAAATTATTTTTTGGCTTTTGTTGACTTTAAACCGAACTTGAAAAAGCAAGAACATTATACTTAGTATTAAATATCACTAACAATACAATGGAAATTTAAGGTATCCAATGTTATTAAATGGAAGCCATTGAATAATGCGTTACAAATTCCATAAAGAACAATTTATATCTATTTTTTTTTTTTGAATTTGGTGGATTATGTATTATATGAGTAAGCTTCACCATAAGCCATAGAATATTAAAGCAACTTTTTATTGTTTTTGCTCTTGCTTATTTTTGTAATTTAGGAACGTTTCTAATAAATAAAAACTACAATATAAGATAAAATTGGCAAAGAGGTTCACCAATTAAAAAATACGACAAATTAAAAAAAATAAAATGTAAATATTCGATTATATTTTTTTTTTGGCTCTATAATCTCAAAGTAAATTTCAGATATGTGTGTGAAATTTTTGTTCAATTGCAATTTTTTTTTGAATTTTTATTATTTTTAAGTTTTTTCAATACTGACAGAAATAATTATAATTCTTGCAAAAAAAATTCCAACAAATATGTAAAATCATATTTTTGTTAATTAATTCATGTCACGCACTTTTATCCTTTAATTATTCAAACATGTTAAGGCTTAACAGTTTTAATCTTTCAATAATAGTATTAGTTTTTTGCAACTACTTTTTTTTATAATAAAATATGCGTACTCATATAAGAAATTATATTTGTACGTTTAAAAAAATAATATATCATCGATCTCTTTTTATATTATATCAAATCCTTTACACATTTAATTGCTCAAACACAGCTTGAATGCTTGTTAGGTACATTGTCTTTTTACTTGTAAAGTAGAGTATTTTTAAACGTTAATTTTTTTGTTAGTACTTATTTATTTTTTAACGTTTTTAAGCTGCTACTCACTACTTCTTAAGCAGTGGATTATCCACTTGAAATTTTGTTTTGGTTTTTGTTGGCAATTTCAGCAGCTTAAATTGTATGTGTGTATGTATTTAAATCCGCGTTTTTGGCTCAATTACTGTTGCTGCGGCAAATAAATAAATATAAAAAATCACTATTCTGTTTATTTTCCTCTTCTTGCTTTATACACACAATTTTTTGGTACACTTATAAATATAATTCTATATTTTTATATTATTTACAACAATAAAGTAGTTAAATGGCAAAACCTTTAAACAATTAAGCACAACTCGCGTCGATGATCAATTAACTTGGAATTATTTGGCAATTCGATAGTGGAATATTTGCCGCGGTCACTTTAATTGCTTTTTATCCGCGCTTACCAAACGTCTCGCGGCAAATTTCAAAACAAACTGACTATGCGATTTTTCCAAATGGTCCAGCAGCAGCATGTCATGTACGTTGCAAGGTAGCTGTAGCGGTGGCCGCACCCGACGGCAAAAACAAATGAGACGACAACGCCAACAGCGGCGACAGCGACGACAGCGTCAAAAATGCTTTAGAAGTAACAACTAGACAAACAGCTGACTGTGAGAGCATTTCACAGCAGTACGAAATTGCATGAAACACCTACATATAGACATGTGTAAATATGCAGTTACATATATTTATGTGTGTTGCTATTGCATGTAGAAGCCACCTCACGTTCACAGTAGCAACTTTTCCGACCGCTAAGGCTTTCGCAAAGCTCATTTTCTTTCATTCTCTCTCGCTAGCACTCACGCTTGCTCTCCACTGTCGCACAAAATAGTGGGAATTTTCATTTGTTCGACGCTCACGAAACGCTGGCTTTTGTTTTGGGTAATATTTTCCCTCCAAACCATAGGTTAGGGTCAAATGTGCGTGGTCGGGTAGCATGTAATATTTTTCGCAGAACACGTGCTGGCTTTCCAAACAAGCGGCCACACCACTTTCCTACTTACATATTTACATATTTATTGTATTTGCTACAAAAGCAGACAGTCATGATTATTGTTATTGTGGTTTTTTTAATGTTGTAAAAGTATTTTGTTGTTCATTGTATTTGTTGTGTTTTACTATGTGTGGCTACTGGCTTGCCATTCATGGTATGCTTCTCATACAATATTTATGTATTTATGCATGTAAATATGTACAATATTTATGAATGTGGGTTTGCTTGTAATTTATGAATGCTGGCTGGCGCTCAATGGCTTCGGTTGTGGCCACGGTGACGTTTGGACAATTATGAATGATAGAAAAGGCGGGATATTTTTGGGCTATACCAATTATTATTGTCTTACTAATGGCTATCTGATAACTGTTATAATAATTATTACTGTTGATTGAAGTAAAATATTAACGGATGCATTGAGCAGCTAAAAATAATATTGACAAATACAGTATAAGCATCTTTTGAAGGGTCTGAATAATACAGTACGCCTAGGTGTAAGCGTTTATGAAAGGATGGAGTATTTTCACATAGTTATCGGTTTTTGAGTATCGATCTGAAATTTTGCACACTTCCATTTTCTCCCCCATCCATGAAGTTGCCAATTTGTCGGAACCGAACGTTTGGTCGATCAAAAATCAAGTTTTTCTATAGAAAACTTTTTATTTGACAAGATATACCCCCGAAATTTAGCATAGAATATTATCTAAGATAGCGCTATAATCTCCGAATACATTCTTTTTATCGTTGCACCGAAGTTAACGTTATATCTTGTTTTCATTATCTTTCGCTCAGTACTATCAATAATGAAAGTTAGGTTAGATTAGGTTATGTTAGGAGGTGAAACTCCTTTATAATAGATCGTAAGACCCCCAAAAATCGACAAAGCACTTCGTGCCTATCACATATTTGTTGTCTTGCAAAGGCTGGACAATTAAGACAATAGTGCAGTTGCTTGCACTTCATCTTCTCCATACAACTTGCTTCCGTCAAGATGTTTAGCCTTACCGTATGAATGATTATCGGATAGTGTCCAGTAAGAACTCCTACGGTAGTCCAGTAGATCTCCTGTTTTCTACTCTAGCCCAAAAAGAGCTTGGTGTTTCACAGGAGTAGGTCGTCGACCAGCGGAGCTAAGCGCATACGGGAGCTATTGGTCCAGTGCTAGAACGCAAGATGCCAGTGGAGATACAACTCGGTTCCATTCAAATGTGAGCCTGAAAAACAATACAGTAATGAGGCAGTCTAAGGATAAAATTGACGAAGAGCTCCTTATAGAAAACTCCTATTCCAACCTTTCCTCTTAGCTTCGACCTGTCCGTGAAAAAGCTAAAAGTATAGCCTTTTGAAGCGTCCTCCACCAGACCAATACATCATAGAACATTATTGGCTTGACTACGGTTTCGTAGAACCAAAACACCACCTTTGGTGTGAGTCCCCATTTTTTCTCTGTATCTTTCTAACAGATATATTAGGCAAACGATGCCGTCCTTACTCTCTCCTCAATGTTTGGCCTTAATGAAAGCTTGCTATCGAGGATAAGCACTAGGTATTTCAGAATATCCATTGGTTGAAGACGTAAGCCCCCGAATGAGGGGATAGGCACGTTTGAGATCTCATACCTCCTGGTAAATAAAACCATTTCAGTTTTACTAGGGTTGACGGCTACCCCACTTCTAGTCGCCGAACAGCTTCGTTCCTCAAGCTCTTTAAGTAGGTTTAATTACCAAGATCTAAACGGTGGGACCTATACAGTTTTATTTTTATTCACACAATGCGCTATGAGTATTATCTCTGGATACTTAGTTTTATACATTTTCGAAGAGGGAGAGCTAAATTATGAGCTTTCCAACAAAGACAACAATGTCAGGGCGAGAGAATGTGGCCGCGTAATTTGGTAGAAGGTATGATTTTACAAATTTAATTTAATATCCTGAAAGAATGCTAAATGCTAAATACTTTTAAAATTTTCCTGAAAAATAGCTTTACAGGAAGTTATAAATAATAATAAAAGCATACATACCTCTGGGCTGTTTTTTTTTACTTTTATTCAAGTTTTTCTTAAGAGACTCAACCCTCCATATGAAAAGCGTTGATCATGAGTGTTTTTGTAAACTTTATTGTTTGTTATGTTTTTAAATAGATGCGTTAAATTATGCAGGCTAATATATACAATTAAATATGGATGTGTGCATTGTTTGCACAAAACTTTCATATTTAACCTTAAAATGTTGTCTTTGCTTGTTTATCGCAATCAAGTTCATTAGCGATTTCTGTACACACACAAATGCTCGTATTAAGAGCAACCCAGACGTAAATTGTGTGCGGTAATTATTCATACTTTACATACATATATTTTAACTCCAGTCACATACGTAGATATTGAAGCAATAAACCACTCAAGTACCAGATAAAATAGTCTAAAGAAATTTATCTTACGCTCTCAGTTCTCAATTTTTTTTTTAGGAATGAAGACTGCCCGACGAAATTGTAAGAATATAATATTCTTTTTTATATTTTGCATAATTTTTTTTCTTAAGTTGCGAAGAAAGTCGTTTAATGCTGAATATATCAAAAGCTTTGTAAGAGCGTTATAAAAGGATTTGATATACATATATAATTTATTCTAATGAAAATGACATTCGTTTTTAAAAATTCTAATTTCAATTTTATCTCTTAACAGTGAGTGCAAAAAATTGCGTATTCGTTTTATGGCAGCTGCTTTTCTCTTTCCCAGAAAACTAAAAAATCCAATTACAACCACCACGAGTTTTACTTTTTTCGATAATCCATTTTGTTCTGTTATCAACTGCTGTTATAAACAACTCTCCGCTCTACTATGTTCACTAGCACACACATAAAGATCTTAAGAATAACGGTATGTACTAAATAAGCAAACAAACGAGTCTAATCCACATTAAATTTGCATATGTTTTTCAGCATTTAAAAGTCAAATAAATTTGTGGAAAGTAAATTGTAAGCAATCTTCATTTCATTTAAACTTTTGAATACTATTCATTTCATTGTTGTTGTTAGCGCGCTTGAATATTTAGCCACTTGGTTAAATAATTACCAAATTACTCAGTGTGAAATTGGAACTATTATTTCATTAACTTGAGTTATTTATGTTCACAAGCGTTTGTATTAGAAAATTGAAGCTAATATCCAACATAGCAGATTCTTTCAATAATTTGTGTGTGTGCCTATGTGAATGTCTGCGTGACATATTTACAGGCATGTATGGTAAGTCTGCCACGTGGCACATTAAATTTGTTTTAAGTGAGCGTTATTGATGTGCGATAATTTAATTTTTGTATATATTTATAATATACTATTCATGTTAGGATATAAATCCTGAACTTGAGCTTATTTATAAAAAAATTTATATGGTTTCTATGGATTTAAAAACCTTTAAATCATTGAAACAAACTTTGTAGTTTCGAAATGTTGCCAACTGCTTTAGATTTCGCTTATTCAAAGAACTAGTCTTGCGAAAATTAAAATATGAAAATTTTGAACACGGAAATTCTTTAAAACAAAAAACAAGCAGGAAAATTTGTTAACTTCGGTTGCACTGAAGCTATAATACCATTCACAAATAAGAAAGCTTTCATACAAGAACTTGATTTTTATTGATTAGTTTGTATGGCAGCTATATGCTATAGTAATCTAATCTGAAAAATTTCATTAAATATTGTTTCGTTGCCTTTGATAATACGTCACGTCAAATATGTTGAATATGCTTCGTTTTCGGTACAAGGACTTTATTTTAATCGAACAGTTTGTATGACAGCTATATGCTATAGTAGTCCGATATCGATGGTTCTGGCAAATGAGCAGCTTTTTAAGAAAAAAAGAACGTGTGAAAAATTTTAGACTGATATCTTGAAAATGGGGGAACTAGTTCGCGTATACATAGCCAGGCAGCAGGCAGAAAGACATACAGAGCGTCATGGCTAAATCGACTTAGCTTGTCACGCTGATCATTTATTTATATATTTTAGAGGGTATCCAGCATATCCTTTTACATGTTTCAAATTTCATTGCAGACTTAATACATCCTGCTAAAGGTATAATTATATTAAGTTTGAGCACTTTGAAAGTGCTCTTTCTCTCGAGTAAGTCTTGAAGCACACCTACAAAGTAATTACCACAAAAAATGCATAGGTCAGATATGTTAAAATATCATATAAATATATCTATTAGTTATATTCTTTTTATTTATCGACTAAGTTCACAGTTGGACGCCAGCGAGTTTTTCGTATTTCATATTGCATAATGTTGATTTTTCAATTTCTATTATATATTTTCAGCAGCTATCGGAATAAATTGGTAATGAAACTTTAATTTAGTTGTCATCGATAAACGGTTCGTGTTCCACAACTCATCCAAGAAGAAGAGAAGTGTTCACATTATTATGTGTTCTTTCAATGATAGTAATGTTCTTAC